TACAGATATTTCAGCAAGAGGCACAGCAATCTCTTCCCTTGCTTCCCTACAAAGTTCTAGAGTACACCTGATCAGGTCCGGAGAATTTATCCACCTTTATGCATTTTAAGACGTTCAGCACCTCCTCCTCTGTAATATCGACATTTTTTTAAGATGTCATTATTTATTTCTTCACCTTCTGTATCTTCGATATTCTTCTCCAGAGTAAACACTGACGCAAAAGACTCCTTTAGTATCTCCTCTATCTCCTGCTGTTCACACATAGGTGGCCTTGCTGATCTTTGAGGGGTCTTGTTCTCTCCCTTGTTATCGCTTTTGTCCTTAATGTATTTGTAGAATCCGTTTGGATTCTCCTTAACCCTATTTGCCAAAGCTATCTCATGTCCCCTTTTTGCCCTCCTGATTTCTCTCTGAAGTGTACTTCTACTGCCTTTATATTGTTCTAGGGATTCACTCAATCCCTGCTGGCCATACCTGACATATGCTTCCTTCTTTATCTTGATCCAAATCTCAGTTTCTCTAGTCATCTAGCATACGCCATGCCTGCCAACCTTGCCCTTTACTCTGGCAGAGACATACTGTCACTGGATTCTCGTTATCTCATTTTTGAAGTCTTCCCATTTTCCAGCTGTCCCTTTACCTGCAAACATCTGCTCCCAATCAACTTTTGAAAATTCTTGCCTTATACCGTCAAAATTGGCCTTCCTCCAATTTAGAAACTTAACTTTTAGATCTGGTCTATCCTGTTACATCACTATTTTAAAACTAATAGAATTATGGTCAATGGACCCAAAGTGCTCCCCCACTGACAACTCAGTCACTTGTCCTGCCTTATTTCCTAAGAGTAGGTTGAGTTTTGCACCTTCTCCAGTAGGTATATCCACAGAAAAAAACGGAAATTTTTCTTGTGCATACTTAACAAATTCCTCTCCTTCCAAGCCCTTAACACTAGGGCAGTCCCAATCTATGTTTGGAAAGTTAAAATCCCCTACCATAACCACCCTATTATTCTTACAGATAACTGAGATCTCCTTGCAAAATTGTTTCTCAATTCCCTGCTGACTGTTAGACAGGGGGTGTGGTCATCCCTTTCTTATTTCTCAGTTCCACCCAGATAACTTCCCTGGACGTATTCCTTGGAATATCCTCCCTAAGTACAGCCATAATGTTATCCCTAATCAAAAATACAACTCCTCCTCCTCTATTGCCCCACTTTCTATCCTTCCTATAGCATCTATACCTTGGAACATTAAGCTGCTAGGCCCATTGATCCCTGAGCCACGTCTCTGTAATTGCTATGGTATTCCAATCCCATGTTCCCAACCATGCCCTGAGTTCATCTGCCTTACCGGTTAGGCCTCTGCATTGAAACAAATGCAGTTTAATTTATCCTACCTCGTTCTCTGCTTTGTTCCTGCCTGCCCTGACTGTTTGACTCGCTCCTTTTCCCAACTGCACCAGTCTCGGATTGATCTCTTTTCTCACTGTCTCCCTGGGTGTGTCTTCTCCCCACCCAAACTAGTTTAAATCCTCCTGATCTGCCCTAGCAAATCTCCCTGCCAGTGTATTAGTCCCCTTCCAATTCGGGTGCAATCCTTCCTTCCTTATACAGGTCACGTCTGCCCTAGAAGAGTGCATTTATTTCGACACACGAGGCCTGACTGGTTAGGCAGATGAGCTCAGACCGTGGATTGGCTCTGCAGGACTGGGATATTTATAGCCATAACAGAAATACGGCTGAGAGAAGGGCAGGACTGGCAGCTCAATGTTCCAGGATACAGAAGCTACAGGCGTGACAGAAGTACAAGGAAGCGAGGAGTGGGAGTTGCCCTTTTGATAAGGCAGGACATAACAACTGTGCTTAGAGAGGATACTCTCAAGAGGTCATCAAATGAGGCCATATGCTTAGGATGGTCACTGTTGGGACTGTATTATAGATCCCCCAAATGCCAGCGGATACTAGAGGAGCAGATGTGTAGAGAGATTGCAGATACCTGTAGGAATAACAGAGTAGTATTGGTTAGAGATTGTAATTTCCCCTGTATTGACTGAGCCACCCAGAGTGTAAAGGGCCTGGATGGGGTGGAATTTGTCAAATGTGTCCAAGCAAGTTCCTAAATCAATATGTAGAGGTCCCTACTTGGGAGAGTGCAACACCGGACCTCCTCTTACAAAACAAGGTCGGGCAAATGACTGAATTATCAGTGGGAGAACACTTTGGGTCCAGTGACCATAACACTCTCAGTTTTAACATAGTTATGGAAAAAGACAGGACACATCCACAGGTTAAGGTGCTAAACTGGAGCAGGGGCCAATTTCGGGACCATAAGACAGGATCTAGCAGCGGTCGAATGGGTGAATCTGTTTGACGGAAAAGGAATGACTGGCAAATGAAGGCTTTTAAAAGTGTGATAACAGGAGCCCAGGGATATTTTGGACCACATACATAGTACCAGAGAGGAGGTGTTCGCAGCGTTAGATCGCATTAAGGTGGATAAATCCCCTGGTCCTGATCAAGTCCATCCTCTGATGTTATGGGAGGCTAGGGAAGAAATTGCCAAGGCCCTTGCAGAGATTTTTGCTTCATCTTTAGCCATTGGTGAAGTTCCAGAAGACTGGAGGGTGGCTAACGTTGTTCCATTGTTTAAGAAAGGTAGAAAGACAAACCAGGGAACTACAGGCCAGTAAGCCTGACATCAGTGGTAGGCAAGTTACTGGAGGGGATACTGAGGGACAAGATCAACCAACATTTGGATAGTCAGGGTCTGATTAGGGATCGTCAGCATGGATTTGTGCAAGGGAAACCGTGTCTGACAAACCTTTGAGTTTTTCGAAGAGGTAACCAAGAGGATGGATGAGGGTAGGGCAGTGGATATTGTCTCTCTGGACTTCAGTAACGCCTTTGACAAGATCCCGCACAGCAGGCTAGTAATGAAGGTTAGGTCACATGGGACCCAGGGAGAGCTAGCTAATTGGATTCAAAACTGGCTCAATTGTAGGAAGCAGAGGATGATGGTTGAAGATTGTTTCTTGGACTGGAGGCATGTGACTAGTGGTCGGTGCTGGGACTTTTGTTATTTGTTATTTACATAAATGATCTGGATGTGAATGTACAAAGCATGATTAGTAAGTTTGCGGATGATACAAAATTAGGAGGAATAGTTGATAGAGGAGAAGGTTATCAAAAATTACAGAGGGATCTTGATCAAATGGGGAAGTGGGCTAAGGATTGGCAAATACAATTCAATACAGATAAGTGTGAGGTGTTGCACTTTGGAAAGTCAAACCAAGATAGGACTTGTACAGTAAATGGTAAGGTCCTGAGGAGTGTTGTGGAACAGAGGGACCTAGGAATACAAGTACATAATTCGTTGAAAGCAGCATCATAGGTAGACAGGGTGGTAAAGAAGGCATTGGCATGCTGGCCTTCATCGGTCAAGGCACTGGGTGTTGGAGTTGGGACTTTGTTACAGTTGTGTAAATGGTTGGTGAGGCCGCATTTGGAGTATTGTGTACAATTTTGGTCACCCTGTTATAGGAATGACATAGTTAAACTGGAAAGTGTGCAAAGAAAATTTATGAAGATGTTGCCTGGACTAGTAGGCCTGAGTTATAGGGAGCGAAACAAAAACAAAGTTGCTGGAAAAGCTCAGCAGGTCTGGCAGCATCTGTGAAGGCAAAAAACAGAGTTAACGTTTCGGGTCCAGTGACCCTTCCTCACAACTATAGGGAGAGGTTGGTCAGATTAGGACTTTATTCCTCGGAATGTAGGAGATTGAGGGGTGACCTTATTGAGGTGTATAAAATCATGAGGGGCATAGATAGGATGAATGCATATAGCCTTTTTCCCAGGGATGGGGAATTGAAAAGGGGAGGGCATAGGTTTAAGGTGAGAAGGGGAAGATTTAAGAAGGACCTGAGGGGCAACTTCTTCACGCAGAGAGTGGTGCGTATATGGAATGGGCTGCCAGACAAAGTGGTTGAGGCAGGTACAATAAGAAACATTTGGATAGGTACATGGATGGGAAGGGTTTAAGAGGGATATGGACCAAATGCGGGGAATTGGAACTAGATGAATGGGCACTAGGGTCAGAATGGACCAGTTTTGGCCAAAGAGCCTGTTTCCATGCTGACTGTATGACTCTGTGACTCTAAGAGATTCTGATGGTCCAAAAATGTGAATCCTTCTCCCCTGCACCAGCTACTCAGCCACGCACAGCATTCATCTGCTCTATTCTCCTATTCCTACCATCACTAGCTCATGGCACCGAGAGTAATCCAGATATCACTACCTCAAGGACCTACTTGTTAAATTCCTGCCTAATTTCCTATATTCTCTCCTCAGAATCTCATCCTTTTCTCTTCCTACGTTGTTAGTTCCAATGTGTACAACGACCTTCTGCTGGTCCCTGTATCCTTTGAGAATACCCTGCATCCTCCTCGAGATATCCTTGTTCCTGGCACCAGGGAGGTAACACACCATTCTGATGTCTCTCTGTCGGCCACAGAAAGGTCTGCCTGTGTCTCTGACAAGCGAATCCCCTATCACAATCGATCACTTGGAACCTGACATACCCCTCATTACAGTAGAGCCAGTCTCGATACCAGAAACCTGGCTGTCTATGCTACATTCCCCCAAGAGGGTATCACCCCCTAGATTTTCCAAAACAACATACTTGTTTGAGATTTGTGATGACTCCAGGAATAGTGAAGCTTAATTTCCAGCGCACAGTGACAATGTGCGTGTAATATATTGTTCATTCAGATGGTTGTGCAGGAGAAAATACGTTTTAAGTAATATAGTGGCGGTTAAATTGATTTTTAAAAATTTTAAAGCCTTTGCAATGCTATTTATATCTGAAAATGAGTACTAAATGCTAGTTCCAGTATTTGTTGCTGCCTATTGTACACTCCTCTGTTACTGAAGACATTTGAGAGAATGGTTTATTTCTTATACCTGTTCATTTTAAATTAATCAACGTTTCTTTGTTCCATCTCAGCTGTTTAGATTCATGGTTTGAAGTGAACAGATCATGTCCAGAACACCCTTCAGATTGACCTCTCCTGGCTTGCAGCTGCTTATGGCCTTCTGTTAAAGGTAAGTAGAGACATTTGTAAATTAAACTTCAGTGCACTGTGATAATGTGTCAAAAAAAAAACTGTTCAGTTTGCTAGTAATTTTACCCAGAGAGACTTAATGAACTGAAACAGTTTCTTGAAGGTGAAATTTGAGCAAGCTAGGGAAGTGCTGGTTTATTTTATGTGTGACATGAAATTAGTTGTGATGGGCAAAATGTGAAAAACAACAGTGTGTCCTTGCCAACAGTGCAAAATTTCAACAGCTGTAAAGTGAGTTCATGTATTTACTTCACACTGGTGGTTCTTAAACAACTTTTTAAGGGAGTGTACTGATACAGACACTTGGCTTGCAAGAAATCATGTTGGTACTGTGAAGATTCTCTCTCATCTGCGCTAGTGTCACCCTGGGATTCATATAGGCATTAATGCAAGTATAACAGTGCTAGGGCTACTCCATAAAATATGTCAAAGTTCCTATAATGTGGAGGTGCCAGTGTTGGACTGTGGTGGACAAAGTCAGAACTCACAACGCCTGGTTTTCTCCAACAGGCTTATTTGAAATTGCAAACTTTCGTGGCACTGCTTCTTGCATCACGACTTCACCTGGCGAAGGAGCAATGCTCTGAAAGCTTGTGATTTCAAATAAACCTGTTGGACTGTAACCTGGTATCATGTGACTTCTGACTAAATCCCCCATAGCCAATCTGAAACCGTCCCTTCTCTTCTGTCATTATCCTGCAGTCAGTCATCTAAGCGCTGAGTTTGGGTTATCAAATGGCACTGTGTCAGGCTTGCCCAAATAAAAGTGCAGAAAGTTGTATTACCATCTAGAGGCCAGTATTATTACGCATAGCATCATTATCCCAGTGAGAAGACTAGATATTGTGATATGCAGAATGTTGGTCTGCAGACAGACACAAATCTGATCTCAATATAAGTACTTTTTTTTGCAAGTTTATAATTTGTTGTCATTAAGTTGGTTTAACCTTGTGCAATTCCACTGTAAGAGACGACCCTTTGGTATGAAAGGGCTACGAAATGTTGCTGGGAATGGAGGGTTTGAGTTATAAGGGGAGGCTGGATAGGCTGGGACTTTTTTCATTGGAGCTTAGCAGGTTGACTGGTGACCTTACAGAGGTTTATATAGGGGACATAGATAAGGTGAATAGCAAAGGTCCTTCCCTCACGGTAGGAAAGTTCAAAACTACGGGGCATAATTTTATGGAGAGAGGAGAAAGATTTAAAAGGGAGCTGAGGGGCAACTTTTTCCACACAGAGAGTGTTAGTGTGTGGAATGAACTGCCAGAGGAAGTGGTAGACGCAGGTACAGTTACAATATTTAAAAGACATTTGGACAAGTACATAAATAGGAAAGGTTTAGAGGGAGATGGACCAAATGCAGGCAAAAGGGACGAGTTTAGTTTGGGAAACATAGGCAACATGGATGAGTTGGACCGAAAGGTCTGTTTCCGTGCTCCATGACTCGATGAACTGATGCCCAAGAAAAGGGAGTTGCATTAATCAGTGATTAAAATCTAGTTTTAATAACTTCAGCCTGAGAAATTGTGCTGTAAAAGTGCACACAGAATAGTGTAGGAGAATGAAATGTTTAGCCTGTGGCATAACTGAAACATGCAATCCCTTAACCATTTCTTTAATTGTGTATTTTTTTAAAATTGTATGCAGAATGTGAATGATGGGGAGTGGTGGTTGTTAGGTACTCCACAGTGCTGCTGGGAAGGGAGTTCCAGGACTTTGATCCAGTCACAGTGAATGAACAACAATATAGTTCCATGTCCACATGGTACATGACTTGAAGAGGAAATTGCAGGTAGCAATGTTCCCATGTATCTACTGCCCTTGTCCTACAAGATGGTAGAGATCCTGGGTTTGGTGAGTCAATGATAGCATCTAGTAGATGGTGCACACTGCTACCACTATGCGTTGGTGGGAAAGGGAGTGAATGTTAAAGGTGTTGGATGGGATGCCAATCAATTAGGCTGCTTTGTCCTGGATAGTGTCAAGCTTCTTGAGTGTTATTGGTGCTACACCCATTCAGGCAGGTGCAGAGTATTCCAGCAGAATCCTGACTTAACTCTTGTAGATTGAGGACAGGCATTGGTGAGATGGAAGGTGATTTACCCACCACAACATTCCTAGCCTCTCACCTGCTTTTGTAGCCACAAACAGTTTAGTTTCTGATTAATGATAACCCCCAAGATGCTGATAGAGGTGATTAGATTCTCTCTTGTTGGAGATGTTGGAGCCTTACACACGTGTGTTAAGACTGTTAGTGAAAATCCATGCCTAGATATCGTCAGGTCTGCTGCATATGGAGGACTTTAATAGCTGAACATTGTGCGTTCATCAGCAAACAGCCCGACTTCTGACCTTAGGATAGTGATTGATGAAGCAGCTGTGTTATAGCTTCACCAGGTTGGTGCTTCATTTTTAGGTGTGTCTTGATAAACACTACAGATTAAAATGTTTGTCAGGTGGAGTCCAGCCGTATGCTTTTCTAGTCAAAATTTTATTCCAACTCCCCAACCTAAATGATTTACTTAGACCCAAATGCACCCACTTACATTTAATTAACAGATAACCATGACCTGTTCCTTAGTTCCACTTGGCCTCAGGCCCTACTAGATGATAACATATCTGATGCGGCTCCTGGCTTGCCCTGCTGCATTCTTCATTGAGCCATAGTTGAATACCCAGCTTGATGGGCTGTTAAACTGGGGGAATTGCTGTGCCTCGAGATAACAGATTGTAGTAAAAATTCTGCTGCTGCTGATTGCCCATAGCACTTCATGGATGCCCAGTCTTGAGTTGCTACATCTGCTCAAAGTCTTCTCATTACACACAGTGGAGTGGTAATGCCACACAGCCTGATGATGGGTATCCTCAATGTGAAAATGGGACTTCATCTCCACAAGGGCACTGTGGTCATTGCTTTTACTGATGATGTCATTAATGGCCATATCTGTGATGAGTAGATTGTATCCCTCACTACCTGCTGCAGACCCTGTCTCACACCAATGACCTTTAGGACTTAGCCAGCTCAGTTAGGGATGTTACTTGGGAATGGACATTGAAGTTTCATTCTGTGTCCTTGCCTCCCTCATGCTTCCTCGAAGTAATGTTCAACCTTGAGACGTATTGATTCATCAGCCAAGGTGATGGGGTGGGAGTGAAAGATGATAACCAGCAGGATGTCTCCTTGCTTATATTTAGTGTCGTGCTTGCTAGGGTACAGGGCAGAGGGCAATTAAGGGTCATCCACAGTGCCATGGGTCTGAAGTCACATGTAGGCTAAACTAGGTAAGGATGGCAGATTGTCTTTATTAAAGGGCATTGGTAAACCAGATATGTTTTAGGACACTGATGGTGGTCAGTATGGCTACCATTAGGCTGGTTTTTAAGTTCCTGATTTTTTTAATTGCATGTTTGCATCAAGTACAATGCAAGCGGATATACCAGCAGTATCGCCACAATTGCAAACTCCAGCATTCTTTTTAGGACAGAAGCTTCAGGAGATTTCTCCATGGTCCTTCAGCGTTTGGTAATTGAAAAGGACCTGATATCTTCCTGACTTTTGTTTTGTCAACAGAAGATGTAGTGTATTCTGAAACTAATATGATGTACTTCACATACTTATAAAAGTATGTCTGTGTGGTGCTGACCCATCACAAATTCAACAAGGATCAGAACAAAAAGAGAAGACTATAAACATCAGAAAGCTGAAATAATACCCCATAAATGCTGAGAATACCCAACAGAACAGAGAATATCTGTAAAGAAAAATGGCCAGGTTTGACTGGTTAGTTGTGTGCCCCACACCAGCACTGAAGATTACAAGTTAGATGGACACTTTATAGAAGTTGGAGGGGACGGAGTCAAATGATTTTCAGCAGCCTTAATTGAAGGCTTCTAATGATATGAAACGACTGGTGAAATAGTGCAGGCATGTAAAGAGACAAAATGCTGTACAGACTGTAAAAAGAAGACAAACAGAATTCTGGGGAATAAGGGAAAATAAACAAAGCAGTTCAAGCTGCACGTGCAGCAGTTATGATCGTACAAAATGTAAACCACAAAATAGATTCACCCGAGCTGCAAAGAGATAACAAATCACTTGCTGCACTTTGCTCTAACAAAGGTTCTCCAACCCAAATGTCAGTTTGTTTCATTCCTCCCTTCTCAGACCTACTGGGTTTCCTGAGGACTCAGAAATAGAGACAACTAGGGTTTAACTTCAAAGACATGGTTCATATGAAGCATTCATCATCATTATTATATTTAAGTGGTCAATGTGTCTCCTTCCTCATCCTGTCTCCATTAAATCTGGAAATGGGCAAGCTGGAATCTAGTTTGAGACTTTTACCATCTCTATCAGTTTTAATCCACCTATTTCTATTGTTAAAATTACTTGTCTTATGTTAGAAACAGTTCAATAACTCCACCAAAATTCAAAAATAAACATGCTGGTTTGTATCCTACCCTACTGTACTCCCTGCACACCTACGACTGTGTTGCCAAATTCTGACCAACGCCACCTACAAGTTCGCAGATGACGTCACCGTAGTGGGACAGATATCTAACAATGACAAGTCAAAACACAGAAGGGAGATAAAGGTCTTGGTGACATGCTGTAGTGAGAACAATCTGTCTGTCAACGTCGGCAAAACTAAAGAACTGATCGTCAACTTCAGAAAGAAAGGAGGAGAATACACCCCCATCTACATCAACGGAACTGAGGTTGTGAGAGTGAAGAACATCAAGTTCCTCGGAGTGACGATAACTGACGACCTGTCCTGGACTTCCCACGTAGATGCGACAGTCAAAAAGGCACAACAACGCCTCTTCTTCCTCGGGCAGCTCAGGAAATTTGGCATGTCCATAAGGTCCCTCACCAACTTCTACAGACGCACCATTGAAAGCATACTGTCTGGGTGCATTACGGCCTGGTATGGCAACTGCTCTACCCAGGACTGTAAGAAACTCCAGAAGGTGGTGTGC